TCCCTTGGAGGAGAGGTATTTTCTTGTTTTCCCATATTTCTCATGATCCGGCGGTGATTTCTTGTCATCTGATGGATGGTCTGTTTCTTTCAAATTCTTGATGTTTAGCCTGAATGTTCAGGAGCAAGCAGACAGAGGTGATCTAGAATCTCTTTGCCATTCTGTAGTGATCGCTGGTGCAGCAGATTCAATAGATATTGAGGAATATTTTAACCCTATTAGTATTTGGATGTTTACCTACAGTGCCCTTAGATCCTTCTAATTCACAGTAGCCATGAGGAATCTTCTTCTGAAGGCCTGGCCTCTCCTGCCACACTAGCTTGTTTGCTGGAGGCTGAATTATAAGTAGAAAATCTTCATTTCTCTTGTGCCCTGAAATACCTAGTTTGCAGTAGCCATGAGGAATCTCTTGACTTTGTTTTTGGCATCACCAGAGGACTTTAAACATGTATCTGCATTTTTGAAAGTTCATTCTGTAATCCTAGGAAGACTCATGGAAAGGAACAGAATTGGCATTGGGGCAACTATTAGGAGTTCAAAGGAGATTGCACTGCTCTAGGAAATAAGTGGTGAGGGACTGAAACAAGTCAGTGATAGTGGGAAAATTAGATTTTAGATGGTTACAAAATGAAATATATACAACATTGTGACTAATTGGATGGGAACTGCAAGGGAAATTAGGATTGACCTTCAGGTGAGTAGAAGAATGCTGGTGGCATTTACTGAGTGGACACAGGGCATGCGTGAGAATGGAAGTACAAGTCTGGATAGGAGTTTGAGATATAGAAGAGATGTCTCAGGAGAGAAGTCCAATAAGCTCTTCGGTGTTGGGCCTGGCACACAGGAAGGTGATCTGTGCTGAGAGGATCGGGCAGCACATGAATGGTGACTGGCAGCAGACATGGAGTGAGTGAAGCTTCTCTGAGGGAGTGAGGGCACAGATGTCTGGAGACCAAGCTCATGGACACCTACATTTAAGGTGTTCACCAAGAAAAGGAGAAAAGGAGGCTCCTTGCCTGCACTCACCAGGGACAGAGGGGTCCTTGATGGGCTTCTCTTGCTCTGGGTAGGGTCTCCTGCCTGAGAGAGTGTACAAGAGGAGTCACACCTGTGCCTCCTGCAGACAGTTCCCTCCCTTCTCCTATTCTCCCATGAAGCTGGGCAGGGTTGGGGAGACTTTCCAATTCTCCCCCTGAAGGTTGTAAGTTGTAGGCTGTAGACTGTAGTTTTACTGTGGTCACTTTTTTGCTCCATGGTCTCAAGCCAGGAAACAGATACCTCCTGCCATTGGTCTCCCTCTTCCACATCCTCCAGGGGCCCCAGGTCTCTCTACGACCTCCATTGCAAAGCTCAATTTGCCATCTCAGTGTAAGGTGGTGGAATCTTTCACTAGCTCACTATAGCTTAATTGATGCCAAGGAATTGAAATGAATTCTCCTTAATGAAGTTCCAGTGAATGAGCTCACCCCACATTTGGTTTTTGATTTAAAAGACCACTCCAAGATCTGGCTTGCCCTCAAAATACCAGAAAACTGGCTCCTACCCATGTGGAAATATTTGTTTTGTAAACTAGATGATACACAGCAGTTTAAACAATTACTTACACCCAGATTTTTGTCCAATGGCATGAAAGGAGTTCCAGGTAGCACAAAAAGAGAAAATGTCAGTGTTTGTCTCTGTTGATAGTGACACAGTTTACAGAAGGACTTTCCAATGTAGACATGATCTAAGAAGCCAGCATTTATGGAAGAACAACACAGACTACGTAAAACACCTGGTCCCTCAAACAGGAACCTGATACTTTCTCATTTGTCCAAATGTGACTTGGTGATTAACTCATGGTCTCTGGCTCAGTGGCTGTTTGTCTCTTCTCTTTGATGCAATGTAAATTTGGCACAGATCTAGGGCCATCCATAGTTTAAACCTGCCACAGCCAGTGAGTCATAACTGTTGCATGTTATGGTTGGAAGGGCTGTAGCGACCATCTAGGGTCACCCCCTCATTTTTCAGATGAGGAAACTGAGAGCAAAAACTTGCCCCCACACACATGACCAACTGACAGAAATAGATCTAGCCTGCATCTCCCTGAGCTCCAGTTCTGTGCAGTTAATATGTCACCATGCTATTACTCAGCCGTGGTCAAGAAGTGGTGGCTTGTAGCAGGGAATGGCCATAGACCCCTCCAATCCTCAATCTGCCCCTCCACACCCTTAGTGTGTTCAAATAGACGTGCAAGTTAAGCTATGCCCTTGCCAAGCAAACTCAGCCTTAGAGAAGCCCTCTGTATTTTCTTCCAAGCAGATGGTCAGTCGTAAGTATCCTCTTGTAGAAATTTTGGAGCTACCACTAACTTTGACTATGAGGGTTTGGTTGATGAATTTGGCAAAAACATGAAGGATAAATAAGAAGTGAATAGAGATATAAATACAGTTGGAAAGCTATTATTCTAATATATGAAGCATTAGATAATAAAAAGGGCAATCACACACAGAGCTATCCATAGTTCACCTCTACTTTTCTCAGCTCCTCTTTGCACTTGGCTCCAGTGATAGATATATTAGGTTGTCAGGAAAGTCATGACATATTTTTTTCTATGCAAAAATGCATCATGACTTTTCTGACAACTCAATAGTACATTTGATGTCCATATTGGATTTTTTAAAAAAAATCTATACTGAGCTGAATGAACTGAATAATAATAATGGCTAAAAAAGGAAAATCAGTGAAAATTTTGTTTTGCTGATGTTTGTGTGTTATAATCATGCCAGTAATAAAATAAATGTAGTACAAAAAAGGAAAAGGTAATGTATTATACTTTTAACTTAAATTAATGATTAATGTATTTTTTGGTAAAAGGGAAACATCCTTATACCTATATTAGTCTGACATGGTAATGCATAATACTCATTATTCTGTTTTTGAGCCTTCGCTTTTGCAAAGTCATTTATGACAGTTTATCTTCTTTATATACTCATGTTTAATAAACAATATAGCCACATTCATCAGTCTATCTCCAGTTATAGTTGGTGGAAGAAAACTTTCTATTATAATTTTAATTCCAATTTTTTTTTCATGTGAAGCAAAAGATATATGAATACTTAGGAAAAGTTTTACATGTAAGGTTAGGTTTGGAAGAGTCATAAAATTCCCAATCACAATAGTCTAGAAATGGCAATATTACTCATGTCTTTTTTTTCTCTAGGCATATTTCTGGTGGCTTCCAGATACCTCTCAGTAGAAATATGTCTACTAAAATAGTTTCACTAGAGGGCCAGCTCTGTGGGTTGGTGGTTAGGGCAGCTAGATCCCATATTCGAATGCTGGAGCTGGCAATTTAAAAAATGAAAAGTTATTTGGTAATGATAATATGTAGGATAATGTCTTTGTCTTGACAGACATGCAGTGTATTCATGCTGGGAAAAAGAAATGTGTTTTATACGCTCTAATTATGTATGGTGATTAAATGTAAATAATAAATATAAAAATATATTTAAAAAAAGAAAAAAAGAAACATACTGGGGACATGTGTGTGCCTGCCCCAAATCCCAAAAAGGTGGACGAAAAGGGATTATGATACGACCATTTCCTATGGGGAATATTTTCTTCTCTGTCTCTCTGTGAGCACATGTGCCCTTCAGAAAAATAAATGAATAAATGAGTGGATGAATGGTTTCGCTAGGACATTATCAGATTTTTTTTTTTTCCATACGATGTGCTCACAGGGAAAAGACACAGAGGGAAAACCAGGGAAAGTGAAAAATCACCCTCCCAAGGGTGGAGGGTGGCCATGCCACATTCCCCTCATCCCCCTCTCTTTCATTCTCCTCTTGGTATTTTGGTCACACACACATGTGCCTGGTGTGATTTCCAAGCCATCGGGTCCAGGACTAGAACCATGGTTGGACATATGGAAGTATAGTTTCTTAATCAACACACCACCTGGTGGCCCCAGAAATCTTTATTATTTCTAGTAAAAACTTCCAAAGTTTTAATTTTTCTGTAAAGAAAAATAATTTTTAAAAATGGCTGATCTTAAAAAAATTAATGGAACAGAAATTAAAGGTACATAGTATAATGTAATGTTCTTTCTTGAAGATGGTGAATATGGTAATATCTTTGATTATCACATACTGCATGCATGCTTTGGAAACAAAGATATATGACAAATAAATAAGAAATTGTGAAATAAAAGAAAATAATGACTGACTGCCAGAGAACATTGACATTCTTTGATTCATGGTTTTAAACACGTGTCTAGGTCTTGTGAAAATGTCTGTCGGTCTCACATACTGCTCTTTAATTACTTTTATCACTGTAAGAGTAATATTCATTGTGGTTTTGTCTGACACTCTTCAAAGTTTAATTCTTTTTTCTAGGAAATGTCCTTTCCTACATTTTATCATTGCATGGTTAATGGCCTTCTCCACAATCTATGTGAGTTTGTCTAAAAGGATCAGTTTCAAAGTTTGATGTCTCACCCTTGATTGTTCAAGGCAGATTCCGGTTCATTGTAAATATTTTTGAGTCTGATTAATGTCATCTGAAGTTTCACACCAGAAAAAGAGATAATTCAGAAAAGAAAAACAAATTGTATCAAGGAGAGAATGAAATTTGAGCTGATCCTCTGGTGCTGTGTTTTCTTTTGGATTGCACAATGCTTCCAAGATTGACATTAATTTTCAAATTTGTCTTTATCATGGGCACATTTTTTTCTTGCTTGAAAAAGACTTTTTTACTGATAAACCTACATTCTATAGCATTTTCCAATAAAGAGGTGATACTGATGTAAATAAATTGGTTTTCTTTCAATGTTCCAAAAAAGTAAAAACTTTAAGTGGTTCTATAGAATGTCAATATGAAGAATTTCATGTTCTGTTTTCTTTACTTTTAGAATCACTATGCTATAATATTATTGGTCACTTTGAATCTACTGCATAAATACAAGAATGTAAAACTATGATGCTGGTGAGTTGAAATGTGCCCAAAATGAGCTTGAAAGATTCTGAACTATTATATTACCTACTTATTCTCAAGACTAATGTGTGTAGGGA